TTCATAATAATTACCGACGCCTGTACTCAAGGCCTAGGGGCGGTGCTGAGTCAGAAACCAGCAGACGGACAGGTTCATCCAATACATTTTGCGTCGAAAGCTTGCTCTGCAGCAGAAAGCAGATACCATGTAACGGACTTGGAGGCACTAGCCTTAGTTTTCGCTCTAAGGCACTTCAAGTTCTACATTCACGGCATTCGGTTAGTTGCTGTGTCTGATAACCTACCCTTACTATCGTTGTTCAAGAAGCGAAACGTGTCAAATCGCATATTGCGCTGGGGTTTAGAACTTCAGTCATATCAGCTAGAAATGAAATATATTAAAGGGGCCTCTAACAAATGTGCAGACGCCTTTAGTCGGGCCAGTGCTGCAATGGGTAGTAGCGAAGAGAAAGAGGATTTAATGTCAGAAGCTGAAGCTGTCATAATGACTATAAATGCTTCAGATAAAGACCAGTTAGCGGAACTGAAGGAAGATCCGAAGTTTTCGGAAACAATTAAGCAGCTACAAAAAGTCAGCAACGTAGATAATTATTTTCTGAACGAAAAGGGTCTGCACAGTGTCAGCGAAGATGGGCAGATCCAGATAGTCGTTCCGAAAAGACAATGCGAGGAACTCTTCCGAAAGGTTCATGAAGGAGTATTTGCTGGCCATCTAAGTGCAAGAAAGCTGTGGCGGCGGCTCTCAAAGCATTTCTATTGGGCGGGTATGCAGGCGGACTTGGCGAAGTGTCATAGAGCCTGCTTAATGTGTGCCGCCCATAACCCACAGCCCACACGAACACCACCCCTGAAGCCCATCATTGCTGCCGCGCCGTATGAAATTTGCGGTATAGATATAATGGAGTTAGGGCCTACAACGCATGGAAACCGCTATGTTGTCACTATAATAGATGCGTTCAGCAAGTGGTGTTCAGCGTATGCCGTCTCAGACAAAAGAGCCGAGACTGTGGCTCGGATTTTTGTAGAGAACTGGGTAGCGCAGGAAAGACGCTGCCCAAAATTTCTTATTTCCGATCGAGGAAGAGAGTTTGAAAATATGTTAATGGAAGAAGTAGTGAGATTATTCGGGGTGGAACAGAAGTTTACGGTTGGTTTTAACCCCCGAGAAAATGGTCTCACTGAGCGAGTGAATCGAACTCTGGCAAATATGCTAGCCAAGAGTACGGTTGTGCCCATA